GGTTGTCCCTTTGGAACAGAAGCAAGGAAACTGCTCAATAGTAAATAAAATGCAGATGGCATTATTATGTTAAACAGATGAAAAAACTACTAATTGTGATATACCTCCATGGCCACCCTAGTAAAGTCTTTACACACCGATATTATCACACTGCCATTTTTGCTGATGCAATAGCTTTCATGCATGACATGTCATAACCTGTCAAAACAAGAACAGTACAGGCTAACAATGCCAGGCCAGTAGCCATAACGCACAAAAACTAGACACTTAAACTGGTACACCTAAATGAAATGCTCTTCTTCCTCCTGCACTCAACAGCCTGCTGAGAAAACTCTACCAGCTCACGTATTACATGTGTAGGCCCAAGTAGCATGGTGCTGATGAGTGAGAGAACCGGAGAAACAAAAAGGGAGGTGAGGAGAGTTTAGAGAAGCGGGAGGATGACTGCAGCTGGAGCTGAATAATGTAAGGTAATGTGATCTCATGTAGCCACTGTAAACAAAGGCTTGGGTTTCCACTGCACCTGGCCTGCTAACCTGGGATATTACTTGGAAAAGAGAGTGGCTATGTTACATGTTCTGTAAACTCTGGAGTCTGGAGAAAGAGCCTGCGCAACATAATTCAAATGTTTATACAGAAAAAGAAAACAAAAAAACAATCCTTGACATTTACTCCAACAAAATTCCTAATTTTGTTTATTAAATGGTCAGAAATAACAGGAATGTTTCCTTATACTTTGCAAATAATTTTTAAACTTCCAGTGACAGAGTGGGGTCGAATCTCATTCATCATTTCATTATATTTTGTAGTAGTCAGACTATCTTGTCATTTTTAAAGTGGTCTTAAAGAATAGTTATTTTCTTTGGACATTGGCTGCATTTTCCCCACTCAGTCCTTATAAAAGACCGAGTAACAGAGCAATGTGTTTATTTTTTATTTTGTTTATCACACCATTGAACACTGACATCCAAATCATTTGATCACAAAAAAAGCACCTAATTCAAGGACTGAATCAGTGATATGTCCACACATAACAGTCAACTAAGCAATGAACTAACTAGTTTCATAGTTTGAAAAATGCGATTAAACAGTTTCACAGATATAAAAAGCATTTTTAAAGCATCAAGGTGATTCCCAAAGAGCTAAAAAGAAGAAGTGTCAGGCGGAAAAAACTGCAGCCATGACAACAGGTCTTGTGGAGTGAAGGATCTAAATGTGAAATTTTTGGAGGACGTCAGGAGAGACGTTAGTGTCTACAGCCATCTGTAAAACAGGAGCTACTACCATGGTTTGTGGTTGCATTTGAGCCGGTGGTGTTGAGGATTTTCTCAAAATGGACGGATTTATGAAAAAGGAAAAGTACTGGCAAAATCTGATGCACCATGCAGCACTACCTGGAAATTACAAAACAGTGGCAGCTGCTTCATTTCTCAGTCTGACAACACACTGCAAATGGAGTAAAAGCAAATAGACAAACACGCAGGGGAACACTACCCGTCATGGATTGGTTCCCCCAGAGCCCAGACCTCAAAATTACTGCAGCAGTGTGGGATCATGTTGACGGACAATGAAGAAAAAGGCAGAAACATCCAAATAATCCTTCAGGAAGCCAGGACGTATTCCCGAAGACTACTTGTATAGTGATCACAAATTTTCCTGCCGTGGGCTCAATAACGTCTTATATTATCTTATCTTTTGACCAATTCAGGCTGTTGAAAAGTGGACTCAAGTTTAAAAGTTCAGAAGTTTGCCGGTCACAACTGCATTGAAAGCCTCTGGTCAGCTGCCAGCTTCCTCCAATAACCCATAATTCACTATATATTCAGTTTATATATGTCTTACAGGCCTCGGTATTTTTAATGGCACAGAGATTTTTGCCTGGCTGCCATTGTTCTCCTTACACTCATATTTCAACAGAAAATAGACCCTTCGTTCCTATTCCACATCACCACTTTGAAACGCTCACAATTCAAGGATGCAAAGGACAAATAATACATTGCTTGCATTTGTTCAAAGAAAGTAATCAATAATCACTAGCTGGGTGTTCTTTCTTTCCCAGCTACATATTCCCACTGGAAAAGCACTTGTTCTACATTGAAACTGGTCTGCATCCTCTGAATGGATCAAAGAGTTTATTCAAGTAGTAGAGTTTAGGAAAGAATGCTCATGAATAGAGTTGATTTAGTTTTGTATTTCTTACTTATTTATGCTTTTTATTGCGTTTTAAGGTGAAGGATGTCAGTGGGGCAGTTTGAGCTCTTGTTGGCAGAGGTGAGAACACATGTGAGTAGGGAGAGAACTCATTTCATAGAGTCGATCGACCCGGAGCAGCATCTAGCTGTGTGTCTGAGGTAAAACAGCATTATTCTACCATTTCCATCTCATTGTATAGTCACTACTGGTGCAGGTTTTGAGCTACAGCGGACTTGTTCCCAAATGCAGTCTGATTGGTCAGATGTGGATTAGAAAAATGTCAAAAAAATGTATTAAGATTTGGGGAGTCTCAAAAATTACTTTTAAAGTGAGAAACTTTTTCACAGATTTTACATGTCCGGTGTGCAAAGGTCTTTAGTTTTAGTTTTTGTTGTGGTGACATGGGTGGTAGTTACCCAACTGTAAGATCTAAGAAGTTGCACACAGTATAATATAGCAATACAAATTAGTTTATGGGTGCAGCCGGCTAACAATATTTGCTTGTGTTAACTTATAACTTGGCACTCCACCCTTTCACCAGACTATATTGCACCCAGACTTAGCTTTGTAGATATGGGTTTACATCCTATTCACTCACAACAGTCACCACTATACTTAACTTTAACTTCAACATTACCAACTTCAATATTAGCAACATCTTTTACTCCCCAAAAGGCATCTAGGAACAGCTTCAGTAACTCTTTACAATTATTTCCATTTTGTTGTGTCACATAAAAAGCTGTTCAGTACTGACTCAGTACGGCCTGTGAAAGGACTCTTAATTAGTTTAAGCCACCTATTTGTAACAGAACTGACACCATCATTGTTTCTGTGGTTTCCTTGGTCCTTCTAAAGAGGAAGTAAAGCACTCTGCATCACAGCTTTACTGATAATGATGCTTTCAGACGCCACTACGGGGAATTCAAAAAGACACAGATGTTTGGTTAAGTATGAAAATGTTGTGTTGAAAATTTGTTTATACGTCTGCTTGACTCCATAAGCAACAAACAGCCTTAAAAGCATGTGCAGCAGTTCTGAGCTAGTGTTTACTGTACATTAACAAAGCGGTGAGATAACAGATGTTATGTGGAGGTGGATTAGCATGATGACGCACGTCTTTGATATAACTGCAAACCACTTTCCAAAGCAATTTTTTTTAATTATGAAGTGCATTTTTCCTCTTAATTCCAAGCAGAAGTCCATTTATTGTCCATTTATTGTCCATTTATTTCAACTGAGGTTTGAAAAAAAAAAAAGGACATGCAGAATGAAATCTATTTTTTGCCACCACTTAAGTAATCATTAGGAGATAATGCAGCTTAAGGCAAGAATTGATTTGAAACCACTGCACAACATTAGAGTACTCAGTAATAAAGTATTACTGGCAGTGAACACTTATTAAAGAAGACTGAAAGAGAATACTAACCCCCTTTAAAGATGAATCTAGTGCTACACTGAAATAAACTAATGCCTGACTGAAAGTACAACACATTTAACATCATTAAATTCACAGAAACATAACATGAGTTCTGTGATTTATTAATAATTTAGAGCTGGATTCCTCAAATCACTGAATATGGCCCATTTCCCTACATCAATAAGGAATTAAATGTTCTATTATGGAAAATACCAGGAAAAGAATAAAGTCATTATATGCTAAATGCCATTTTTCCTTTAAAAAGTCCACTCACAGGCAACGTATCTCTGACCACTCATTTTTTGCACGTTTTAATTGTACTTGTTTAATCCCTCTGAGACTTTACTACTGAACAATGTCCTCGCTCTTACTTTGAAAGGTCAGTCTGCTAAATGGTGAGTTCCAGCCTTTCATGCCCTTCTCATGTTTCCCTCCCAGGTGGTTTGTGCTTCAGTTTGCAATTGAGGTGCAAACTGGCGCACATTTCAGGTGGATCAGGATGTTGTGTCAAACATTCATTATTAGTGCACCTGCACAGAAGTTAATGAGTGAAATTTGAACTTACTATATTAGCACACAGCAGAGGCCCTGACTCAGGGTGAAGAAGACACCAGTGCAGATGCCCAGCACTTAAAGAACTATCAGTGTAATTTATGGAAAAGCTAATAGTTTTATGGCTTCAACTGGACCAGGGATGTCAAAAGTCCACTGCACAATGCTACTGACCTGGTTATGCTAGCCATTGTCACTGTCTCAAAAGGAACACCATCACAACCACAGCACCAATGTAGAGGTTGTTCTGAGTAGTGTGCTCTGGAAAAGTTGCAAGCTCGTGCAGCACACCTCAAGCGCCAAATATAAATGCCCACGGTGTCACTAACCAATGCAGTGACTTAATATGGTGATGAGGAAGCTAAAGAGGCTCTTGTTAAAAAGAAAAAAGAAAAAAAAAAGAATACACACCCATTCTGACAGATACATGGCCTACCAAACGTTCAATCTGAACCAGAGGCAAGCTACATACAAGTGGGGCTTTCTGCAAAACACAAAAACTACAGACCCCATGCTAGGTTCAGGTGCTGTGATATGCTATCAAATGGGTCTACAAGCAAAAGAAGTGTTAACAGATTATACTGAGGGGCTATTTCTCACAGATATGAATCCAGGTGTGTCTTATAACTTTGGCTTCTCTTTGAGGTAGCATTGTGTTGGAAAAGAGCTAATTATATATATTCCTAAGCTAATTGTATATTCCTTAAATTATCACATATACAAATATAGCAGTCTATCACTAATAGTACTTGCATGTATTAGTTATCTTAATTATTTATCTGTGGTACTAAATGCCATCTCAGCCCCTCCCTAATTTTTCCCCATCAGCCCTCCTCACCAGTGTGACAGGCAGCAGGATGGTGAGCAGAGCGATGTGATGCAGGACCAGCAGGAACTCCTTACGGACAAAGGAGTTTATGGTCCTCAGTGAATGCCGCTTGTAGTCCTCATGCCCTTTGATGTGGAAGCGGTAGTAGTGACTGAGGTACATGGCAAAGATGTCGTACGTCATGTAGGGGACACCATACCAGATGACAAAGTAGGTGGCCAGCCAGTGCCTGAGGAAGACAAAATAAAATTGTTATCAGTGTCTACAACTAACAGCAGAATCACCCACAGGAATGCCTCTATCGAAAATGGATGACCATGATGTTCAAATAATTGAATACTCATTATTAAGAAGTTGAGCCTGCTATCACAATGCGGGTTAAAAAAAAAAAAAAAAAAAAAAAAAGACCTTTCATGAGATGCAACTCGTTTTGACCAATTGCCTATTTTACATGGTGATATGATCCCTGAAAGTTTACACAGAGTGAGTTTTTTGACATTTTCTCCAGTGAATGATCTGAAAACACATTAAACATCCAGGGTATCAGTGTCTGTCTCCATTTCTCTACAACATAGACACAAAACTGAGGAAGTTTTGCCACTGAAACTATAATTTTACATGACACAGGCTAGTGAAATAAAAAAAAAGTGCTGAACAAGTACATTAATTTTACTTTTGTTTGTAACGGGTATTAAACTGATATGGCTAGATTTTGAAGTTTAAATCTTAAGTGTGTTTTTCAGACCTGAAAATGTTATATGACTGCACAGTTTGCTTAAGAAGCTATAGAAACTGAGGTATATTAAAAAAGAAAAAGAAAAAGTCAAATACAGACTCGTGCCTTTGCAGTCTGAGAGTCTGTAATGTGGAAAATATTCAGAATATAAAAGTAAAACTTTGCTTGGCTTTATAAAATTCAACAAAAAAAATCTTGCCTGATCCTAAGGGAGTCAGGTGGAAGGCTTTAAATGTTTTTTATGGAATGACCCGTGTATGTTTGATTTATTTAAATAAAAATCATGAAAAAATCTTTACCAGAACTATAAAACCATATTAATCATTTACCAGTCTTACATTCACAGGTCACTTTGTTAGGAGCACCCATTTAGCTGCTCATTTACACAAATATCATGGCTGCAGTTCAGCACATTTATGGCTCTTTTCCACTCACACCAATTCAACTCGACTCTATCCGATATTTAAGTGATGACATATGAACCCTGTTTCTGGGACCAAACTACTGTGTTTATTAAGGCTGTTGTGTTTTTAACATGTTTTAATGCTTTGTATCTTGTCCTATTTAATCTCAACAAGTCCTAAAAAGGGCAGTGATCACTGTCGGCCTCTCTTGGTTTTTATTATCACTGTTCATTTTAAAGCTCAAGTTTTAAAACCTTACAATGTAAGTACAGCCCAGCCCATGCAGCAGTATATTAATGACTAACCTCGTATTATGGATGGATTATCTCAGTTGTTCTCCTGACTGAAGTTTGGTCCGTTTACAGCATCCTGCCATGCGATTGCTTTTGTCCCTAACCTTCGGGAACCCTCGCATTAACTTTTATCAAGTGGAATAAAGTCAGAGTTCATCCTCAAGTGTGTTTATACTGCATTATGCTAACCATAGCTATGTAGCTAGCCACCACGTAGCAACCCTACAAATGTCACTGCTGTTTAGTTTCCTGTCTTCATTTATGTTGGAAGTGATAGCAGAGCTGTATATTTCAATTTTTTCAGAAATCCCCAAGTCAGAACGTAGTATATTATGTTTGGGTGGAAACTAGCAAGCTAACTTCCTGCTAACTTCTAACTCCATTAAATTTCATAAATTCTGTTTTCATGGATGCCTGGATGTTAAATGTAATTACCCAGTTGAGCAGCCACACTGATCATTTTATTAAAGATGAAAGAATTTAGACCGTTTTTAACTTTCAGTGATGTCAGTGTTCGTTTGACTTTGGGACCTGAAGTGGAGTTTGGACCCGGAAACGGCTAATGACGTCAGACTTAAAGACCAGATTTGACTCAGCTCAGTTTCAGTAATTACAATTGAGTGCCACCTCAATGTGGGTGGGGTTGTTATAGAAATGCGGCGTTGACTCAGGGAGCTTGGAATCCCAGTCGAGTAGGTACCAAAAAAAACGTGCCCAGTAACAGATACTACTACCTAAAGGAAAATCCTAGTAAGGCCGAGTAGGTGCCAGTGAAAAAGAGGCATTAGGAATTTGGTTAAGGGGAGCTGCTGAGATCCAAATGGAGTAGGAACGAAAGGTGATTTAACTGACTTTGTGGTGTAGTTGTTGGTGCAATGGTGCGGGGGATATTTACTTGGAAGACTTTGGGCCCCTTAGTACCAATTGTGCACTGTTTTAACACCACAGCCCAGCTGAGTATTGCTGCTGACCATGTCCCATCCATTTACAACCACAACACACTAATTTTCCAGCAAAATCCAGGAAATCCAGCTGCTTCCAGCAAAATCAGATGCTGTGTCACAAAGCTCAAATGATCTCAAACTGGTGTCTTGAACATGCCGTTGAGTTTATTGTAATCAAATGGCCTCCACAGTTTCCAGATCTGAATCCAATAGAGCACTTTTAGGATGTGGTGGAATGGTAGAGTCACATCCTGGAAGTGCATCTGACAAATCTGCAGCAACTGTGTGATGTTATCATTTCATTTTGGACCAACATCTTTGAGGAGCGTTTCTGCTCTATTAGGTACACCTTACTAATGCTGGGTTTTACCTTTACAGTGGGCCGTGAATATAGAACAGAAGGAGGCCTAGGCACTATCACAGCATTTAGTCCTAGAAAAAAACATGTAAAAAAAAAACCAACAAAAAAAAACCCAACAACAAGACATTTACTTTCAGTAGATTTAAATAAAAACCTGCACTTTTTTTAACCACCCTCTGTCCCGTGCAAAGCATCGGAAAGCTTTAAGACAAGCTTGTGTAAGTACAGTAAAATTAACAGCTTGGATAGCTCCAGTAGCCTAATGAGCACTGATTACTGTGATGGTTAATTATGTGGACAGAAAGGAGTGAAGCTGCAGGGTAAAGCTGAGCTACTGACCCCTGACCTCTCACTGGCTTCTCTAGCTTTTAAGGTCAGTGGATGGAGATTAAGAACAGTAAGGCACAACAAACAGCTTAGGGAGGAAGGAAGGCTACATGAGCTGATTCTGTAATGTATGTACTTTCTGTATTAAATAACACAAAAGAAAGCACTAGTCCCCCAGACATACATAAAACAGAACTGCCTGGTCTCTTGCTGTATAGGTTCACATTGGTGTAACTAGCATAATAATAGAAGATAAATAAGAATTTCACCGTCCTCAGGTGCTTATGTTATTTTTGTTCTTATGCTCTGTTTGCCTACCTGTTTATTAGCACTATTATTTAAACAGATATGGACACATACATGTTAAACTTCTACAATGGCTCTGGTTTGACGGAGCTTAGAAATTATTAACTTTGTGAGCTGATCTGAATTCAGGCCTGGATCCAAGAATTCTTGGAAGGAATCTTTACCATTCCAAGATAGGGCATAATTAAACATTTTGTGTCTTTACTCATTTTTAGAGTGGTGGTCATCTCCAGCCTTGGTGGCGGTATGCAGGACTGCTCAGACTGTTTCAGCAATAACAACAAGAAAAGCACTGGCCTTCTCATTTGCACCACTAAATGAAGCTTTGTTTATTATAGATTACAACAAAGAAATGGCTTTCACGGCAGCCTTATAGCTCAGTGCATTCCTAATTTTGTTTGTCTCTCAAATATAAAGTATAGAAAATATTGTTAAATGAGGGAAAAAGCACAAGTAATTAGATACACAGTGTTTGCCAGATCATATTAACCACTTTATTTGGAGCTAATGTTAGAATCTGGCGAATCAGGTGCGTTTGAGCTACTTTAGTGGTTCTACTGCAGTTTATACAGTCAACACCACCATTTCTGCAACTTAACCACTAAAGGCTAAAAGAAGGGACAGGTTGCGATGGAGAATTAGAGTATTTGTGGGTCTAACTCTGGAGTATAAGCCCCCGGGTTGAGCGCACGTCACAGGACAGCAGAACTGAGCAGCGTTGTGGAGGAATTAAGCTCTGTGGGTGATTTGGAGTGGGGGGGCGCAAGAGATTAGCAGTCTGAAACTGGGACTGCCAGGGTCTGGTCGCTGACTCAGTGAAGGATTAATAGGATGGCATTAACCTAGCGTCACACTTTCCTCAGCTGCACAGAGTGGCCAGTGCTAACGCTAACAGTAACTCATTGCCAGCTGGCTGATGTGGAGGCAGCATGAAAGCAGCTGGTTCAATAAGAGAAACGGGCAGACTGCTGCCCAAGGAAAGATACTGACCTATCAATCACAAAGGAAGTTAGTCTGAAAATCTTTAACATTACATGACTGCTTGCATCATATTCAGCAGCAGGGAGAGTGTTTCATGCTATAATCGCAGCGTAGGTACCAGATCTTCTGATTTATAACCAATTCCCAATAAAATAAAACCATTTAAATATGTGCTGATGAGGCTCTGGTGCAACAACCCCTCCGACATCACAGATTAGCGCATTTAGTCTTCAGACGCTTTGCTGAATGAGCAGAGCCGTTAAAGGTAAGAGCTATCACTCAGATGGGATGCAACAAAAAGTCCTCTTAACATTTCTGCTTAACCCTCAGGACAGCAATGCTGCTTCTATTTCCTGGATGACAAGCTTGCAGTTTCCCAGTTACACTAAAACACCCAAATAATGGACTTTATATCTTTGACCTAAAAACAGGAAGAAGAAATCTCAGCAGCTAAGGTTATGTTAATGATAGGATGTTGTATCGCTAACAGTCAAGTGAGCAGGCAGCCACAGATTAACTAAAAACGGCTGCGAAAAAAAAAAACAAAAACTTAAAAGCACCTATAAGTTAAGTGGGCCAAAAGGAAAAATACTACCTAATACAATCTAGAATTGACAGGACAAGGAACAGTAACCGCAGGAGAAGAGGAGACAAACAGGTCTCTGAATAAAGCGAGGAGGAGCGTGTCGATCAATTTATTTTAATAGTGGAGTATGCAAGTTCACACTTTAGACTGTTTGTGTGTGTGAAGAACGTGAAAAATTAACAGCACGAATGTTATGTCAAAGACTTCAGCGAACTGTGTTAGGGCCGAGTGATTATTCGCATTTTCACCTCACAAGCACGCCGAGATTGTGTAGCTTCTAAGACAGATTAAGCAACTTTGTTCACTGTTAGCAGGCTGTGACTAACATTTATGTTTGAGTCAGTGAATCAAAATTGAGGCCCGAGTCTTTGGAATAACAGATCCCACCAAAGGGAGGCCCAGGAAGCATAGCTGCTGCTTTCATGTGTTACCAGTGATAACCAATGTTTCACTAAAGGGGTTATTTACATGAAGTCTCACCTGTCATTAATGACGTTGCCGCAGCACGATGACACGACAACAGCTCCTGCTGTGGTTGCCATGGCAGCATGGATAGAGGACACCAGCCTGCAAAAAGGGAGAACATCGTCACTTATGCACTGGATGGCTGTAACATGTAATAGAAACTTCAGTGAAGCTGATAAAAGTAATATATGTTCAGATATTTATTGTCCCGATTGTGTCTTTAGAAATCTGTCTAATCTCAATATGGCCAGCACCGCAGAAGGAAAACAAAACTTCTTTGAAGTATCTTAATGTTGTTCTGCTGGCCCTGTTAGTCCAAAACTTTAATTCCTTGGTTTATGATCAACATAGCCATCAGTTCAGCTGCACTTAGTTTTTAGCACTAATAGGCAATTGTTAACCTGCCAATATATTAACACACAGCTGAGCCCAGGGGTTTTTGTGAGTCACCAGGGGCCTTTGGGGGTGATGAAGCACAAGTGAGGTCTGCATATAGTTTATGCATGACTACATTACGAGGGTTATGCATTATCCTGTTGGTGCTAGCCAAAATATTTTTATTACATTTTTGGTGAGGTTTCATCCCTTGCCCAGAAGGAGGACCACCAGAACAATTGTGTACACACAGGAAGCTTTCTAGCTGACGGTTAGTTGCTGGCGGACCTTCCAGGCTCCAGTTTCCTGTGTAACCCTGTAACCCCAACTTGCTGTGAACTGCTTACTTAGTGGACCCTCCTTGACCCCAGAAATACACCAGGCCTGCATTAAAGCCAGAGATCATCACATCCACTCAAGCCAATGCTTGCAACTTCACACGGCAGTGTGTTTCAGAAGGGCATTCATGACACTTAAATTGGCGCTGTGTTTGTCTTTAACAAAACCCAAGTCAAGCTGCAGAGCAGGTAAGGAGGTCAGGAAGTCAGACACAGCCATAGTTTTTCAAACAAAACCCTTGTACAGATACAATGCCAAAGATACTGCCTGATATGTCTAATAACAGTTTCATAACAGCAGATATGGTGATAGTTCTGATCTTAAACAGCCAATCAACAGGTGACAGTTTCACATGTGTGGCAGCAGACATATCTATATGTTATCATAGCAAAGACACATGGAAGTATGCTTATGGAATTTCTTCACCAACTATTGGATAAGGTGTATTACTATAGCAACTGTTCAGTCCTGTTGGCTACAGAGCTTGATTGCGTCAGCCGTCTGGATTGAGCCACTAATGAAGCTACAAAGCAGCAGTGTCATTAAGTAAAACCTACATGGATAAAAAGTTTCAAAAACTTATTCTGGGGAAATTTCAGCATACTTGTGAAATGGTTTTGAGATTTAATTGGTCACCACTGAAAATGAAGTTATGTCTCTCCCGGGGCTCAACACTAATTACCTAAAGAACTGCCCAGAGGTGCTGCCAAGATGACTGCCTAGTGCCAAGACTTGTTTCTATACGCACTTTGCTTAGAAGATTACACCAGTGTAATACAAAAGTTAACATTTGTGTTACTACACTCCCTGTTATTATCATCATCTAGTTTTAAAGTTTGATCTTTGCTACAATTATGAATAAACTCAAAATAAAAAGGCAGGCGTTGGCTTAGTTTTTTGTGATGCCATGTGGGAAATTATTGGGTCAAATAAAATTCACTCAGATCTGAGCTGGTAAAACTGAATGCTACAAGAAAATTTAACAAATTACTTCAATCCAAGCCAAGTCAAATTATGCGTGTTTTCAATGTGATTAATAGCTCTAGGACAGGGCAAAGCCCAACAAATACAGGTCAGTTTTACACAAGTGCTGCTTCAGGTGAGCCGCTTAAGATCAGTGTACCGTGATGGGATTAGCAGTACTTGGCTTCAACTTTCCTCATCTATAAACAGACCTGTGACATAGGAGAACTTGGTACATCTTTATTTGAAGTGTCACTTGGAGTGGAGTGGAGAAAGGCATGCACAACATTCACTGGCCTCGCACCTATGAAACAAGTAACTCCTACACTGAGATCTGACTTGTGTTTTATAATTATTTGCTTACGTTTATAGCAACTTCATTACAAAATTATTTTTAATAAATAGTGGCTGTGATGTTGTGACCTTGATGAGTGAACAATCACAGAGAAATTGATTTTTTTTTCTCTTGGTTCAACAGATTTATTTTGTCCAATTTAAACAGAAAGCTGGATTATTTCACCAATTAAATTTTTGTGTGCGGGTTGTTGTTGTTGTTTTTTTTCTCAAACTATGAATGACTTTTGCTCAGAGAAGCTCGTTCCCTGGATGCTCTCCAACTTGGCAGCACTGACACTAAGCTGCTTTGAAATGACAAAACATGTCCTTTATTCCCCAGCAGTCACTGCGGCCATGACAGACAGCCGCCCATCTAACACAGCGTATTGTTGACTGATTTTCCCAATGGGTCTGTTTTACATCTCCACCTACTCATCAGGAGACAAACACATACTACCAGGCCTATGTGTGTTTTGTCTGCCTATGTTTTCCCCCCACCACCCAACAGACGGTATGTACACAGGAAACACATGAACTGTAACTTGTTACAGTTACATAACCCATGTTATGAGTTTTCCAGCTGATCAAATCATGTATTTACAGCAGGTGCAAACAATACGAGATGCAAAAGTCCAAATAAATAAATAATAAAGCAGCTAAATAGGGGAAAAAAGAACTTGAGATGGTGTGCATGTAGGGCTGAGCGATATGGCCTAAAATTCATATCGCGGTATAATTTGAAGCACGTGCGGTAACGATATATATCGCGATATATTGTTTTCTTCTGTATAACATATTTTCCACACTATAAGGCACACTTAAAATCCTTTAATTTTCTCAAAAATCGAGAGTGCGCCTTATGTATGAATTCTGGTTGTGCTTACTGACCTTGAACCGATTTTGGCGTGCAAAAATCTGTTAAAAAATGTTTTGATGGATTGTCAGAGCATTACGGCTGCCATAGTGAGGAGCTTCGCGGAGTAATCTGGGTCCAAAACTCAGTCTGCTTCAGGTCAAAGTCAAATGAACACAAAGAGTTAAAAACGGTCTAAATTCTTTCTTTAATAAAATGATCAGCGTTGCTGCTTTACCAGGTGTAACAATTAAGTTTAACATCCATGCATCCATGAAAACAGAATTTATTAAATTTAACGGAGTTAGAAGTTAACAGGAGGTTAGCTCGCTAGTTTACACCTAAACATGACATACCATGTTCTGACAGAGAGATTTTTGAAACTAAGTAAAACGTACAGCTCTGCTACCACTTGCAACATAAATGAAGACAGGAAACTAAACAGCAGTGGCGTTTGCAGGGTTACTGAAGTTGGACTACCTGGTATGTAATGTTGTGCTACGTGATTGCTAGCGACACAACTATGTTAGCATAACATTAGCACAGTGAAGCTGGAGGATGAATGCCAACTTTTTTTCCACTCGATAAAAGTTAATGTGAGGGATTCTGGTGGTTAGGGACAAATGCAATCGCATAGCAGGATGCTATACACGGGGCAAACTTCAGTCAGGAGAACAACTGAGATTATTCATCCACAATACAAGGTTAGTTATTAATATACTGCAACAATATGGGAATAGAACAGCTGCGAGTAGGGCTGCTCAATTAATCTAATTTTAATCACGATTATGATCTGGGCTTTCAACGATCATCAAAAATGACTGAGCCGATTATTAGCACCTCCCTCGTGCTTTACTCTCGCGCTGCTCCGTGTGGCAAATCGAGCGCACCTCTCTGCATTTCAAACACCCGTCACAACAATTAAGAGGACCCGAGGGAAGCTCGGAAAGCTAAGCAGAAGTTATTTGGAGAGGAGAGTGACTGCTAAAGAGAGGTAAAAAAAACTTCAGTGGTGTGGAAACATTATGGGTTCGCCGGAGTCAGATGTGGATCAAGTAGACATAGTGCGTAAACTTTGCTATGGTGTCGTAGCTGCACCACAGAGCAACACTGCAAAGTTCACTAAACATAGATGTTTACATTTTTCATTTATTTCTTATATCGCAAACATTTGCACTGTTATCAGTATTTGCACACTATTTTATATTATTTTTTAAAGTCATTATTCAATACATTGTTATTGTTAACCTTTTAAAGCCGGACAGAGCAGCACGCTCCGTTTTGCGTAACTATTTTTAAATCCCTGTAGAACCGGAACCGTGTAAGCTAGCGCAATAATTTGTTTTGCATATGAAACCGGAGGAGTTGTACTTACATCTTATGCCATCAGCTTGTCCTAGGTCACGGTTTCCTTCCACATAAAGCTTTGCAAAAATTGCATAAAAGGGCTTTCAGGAACAAAAACATAATATTCCAGAAACACGCTTTGCCGATCTGACCAGCTGTTCATAACACTTCCCACATTGAAAAAAAAACTTCAACACGAACTATCGCATGTCCGCCATTTCCTGCCCGAAACCGGAAGTGACGTCATTTTTGCGGAAAATATAGTTTTACTTGTAGGCCTTAAAAGCCTATACTGGTGTTTTTATAAGTCATGTTTGACTTTTCTGAATAGTTTCTGTGATGCTTAGAACTCGAATTGCACTGCTGGAA